GCAAATGCAAGAAGATTGTAGATAAGGCTCTATTCTGATCGCTTTGTGATTTTCTGCTGATGGCAACTTACCGGTGAAGAAAAGAACTCTCTCATATAGCTTAATAGGAAAAACAGTATTGCTCCTAGAACAATCTAATCTAATCTCCCAGCAAGCTGTACAAGTTATAAATAATTACACACACACACACACACACATCCCTCCGCCATTGGACTCAACCTGTGTCAGACAAGTCAATATTCTTTTGGCGAAAGCAGTGCCGCTTACAGAACACTACTTATTTTAGGTAGCTGTGTACTTCCTGATAAATAGGAGGAACCTGGGCTGAAACACCGAAAATACCCAAGCCACGGCTTCTTCCTTTTTTGTTTTTGCTGCTTGTATAACAGATATGCATATATATGTTCTTTACATAAACTGTCATTAAAAGATAAACCTTGAGAGAGCGACTAGACCAGGAGAAGCCAGGCTGCATGGTTGACATTCTTCTTTAACATTGTAGCTCAAGATGATTTCAGATATGTCAATGTGATACTGCTTCTCTAATCAGAATAGGTATTTGGTTTTAAAGGCCCATTGGTCGAACGAACAGTTGGATTAGTAACACAAAAGTTGATTGAGGAAACAAGTCGCAGCTTATCACAGCTCTGGGCGCCGGACCTGGTAAAACAGCTGGACCGGAGGCAAAATCCACTTTGGGGTCCCGAGAGAGAGGCCCTCTGAATATCTTAGACCATGGGGAAAGCAAAGAAGCACAGAGCAGATCCTGGCTCCAGATCTAAAGCAATAGGCACTTTTATGCGCTTACCAAGATGGCGCCAGCGGAGGCCTACACCTCGCAGTCGTCGGATGACGACAGCCTACCAGACTACCCAAATGATCACTACCATGGAATTACCACATTACTGCAGAAGGCTTTTAGCCACTTTATTGATCCCAAAGCAAGCTAAGCAGATTGGAATTGACTCCAGCTTCCGTCTCCCCAAGGCCACCAAGGCACCGCAGGATGCCCCACGGGATGTGTGAATTTAATTTTTCAGAGTCTCTGACCGGGGGACCCTTATGGGAACCACAAGGGGCTCCCCCACGATTAATTTTGAAGGAGCAAGCTTGATATTGTACAGGGACTTCTCAAGACACACCCTCACATGGCGCAGAACCTTCCGCCAAATTACCCAGCAACTCCGAGAAAACTCTATCCCCTACAAATGGTGTCCCCACTGGCTGATGGTGAACACGATGGAAAGACGCACCTCCTGACACACATTTCCGAGGCACCAACTTTCTTCCAGTCATTGGGTCTCTCAACGCCGGCCCATCGTGGAACATCGCAGATGTTATCCCCTTTGCACCCATAGGAACTGTGCCAAGGGCGGCGGACCTCCCAACTTGAGCTGGGCAGACGTACATCCCTATATCATAACACAATGTACTCTGAGGTTCGTATCACAATACCTAGTTGTGGGCCCTCTAGGCCTGTTATATATACCAGTTTTATATGCATGACTTCTCTTCAAGTTATTTTTTCTCAGTGTTTTTGTTTTTAGATTTTAATCTCATAAAACGTCAGTATATGAGATGAACTCTCTACCCTGGCTCTGTAAGTGGACAGCTAAGGACACTAATTACGCAACTTCCCTCCCCCCCCCTTACCCAGACCATGTTGGGTCCCAGCCCTTTAGTTAATAGATGCTCACCATGAGGTAGGCGAAACACCTGAAAGCCACAGACCAAATGCGAGGCCCGCAAATGGCCATGGGCAACCATTGGCCATATTAGCTACACTTTCCCAACCCCCTGCGCCTTTCCCTATGTAGAGCATGTCACCCAACATCTTTTAGAAGGGCACACCAAGCATATTGCCCACGCCCTCCTAGGCATCTCAGTGTACATTCTTTGAACAGACAAGAGGAGGATTAGCCTGACTCAATAAATAAAAAAATGGGAGTAAATAGCACTTGTGCGATTCTATATTACGCAATGATCACTTTATATGTAATTTTTTACATGTTATCCTTTTATGCACATGTTGTAAATTGATTTCTTTCCTCGCATACCCACAAAAATAAAGAATTAAAAAAAAAAAAAATGATAAACCTTGAAGTATACCTGTCATGGTACAAACAAACAATGTTATTTCCTGAAAACAGTATATATTAAATTTCATGTATACATTGTGCCTGAAAAACTGCTAAAATATGTACAGCTTAGGGGTTATATAAATGAATTCTCACCAAGTGAATCAATTCTTTAGCACAGAACTAGCACAGACCTCTAAGCTGAATGACTGATCTGAGAGCAGGAAAGACCTGCTACGGGCTGTGGTCGCAATGGTTACTCCCGTAGAACAGGCTACGGGTTATGGGAATGGAGTGACTGGTGTTCCTTTTTTCAGACTCCTGCAATTCGTCAATAGGGCCAGTGTATCAATATCATGGAGGTATTATGAGGTAGCATCATCAAGCAGGGCAAATCAAAACAGAACTTGGGAAAGACCTGAGGTGGGTGTTGCAATACAGTAACAGAGCTAAGGACATGGTTATGCTAGGGCAAAGTAATCTTCATATGTATGCATTTATATAATTTATATCTATGATAAAATTATATAATCAATGCCTTTGGGGGCAGTTTCTCTTAATGTGAACAGGTCATGAGATGTTCACATTCTATGTATAATAATATTCTGTTTATTGATTAGCTACCAGTTTCGCAAGCACAATATATAAATTAAATATTACCTACGCAGTACCAAAAGTGCACGTTCACTTTAGTAACCAACTACACAGCCAATTAATCCTTAACAGCTATGTATGAAATTTAACTTCTACAACATTCCTTCAAAGACTTTAGAATCTCGTTATAATCTATCATTTCTAAATGCAGATGGACAAGTATTTGAAGAAACATACCAGAGCTTTTGACTGCCTCTTCACCACTCTTGTAGAACAATCTGTTCCTTGGGAATTAATGGAAGAACACGCTGCGAAGCTATGCGACTGAGATAATGTGCGAGAACATGGTCTCCCCGACGCTTGATCTGTAAATAAAAAATTAATTATGTATAGCAAATCAGTAGGAAGGGTTTCAACTTCAATTTATACCTACCTACGGTCAGCTAACACACCGTATATAAACATTCTTGTAGTTTAAATATAGATGGTCCTAGAGACGAACTGATCCAGTCAAGGATTGCAGAAACAAGGCATTAAATGCAATAAAAACCACTATAACTAAAACATAGTTTAACAACCAGTCTTTTTTTTTTTTCAAAGATCAACTGGGGTACAGAAAGGAAGAAGGGGTGGGAGTCAACACCATAGAGTTATACATTGCGCATTGCATCACACTGTCACATTTTCATTTTTACCATACTACTTACTTACTTACATCAAGGACATTACATTTTATGTTGGTTGCCACAACAGACTGAAACCTTTGTGGTGCCGGGCTAATGTTTAGCAAGTGTTGCTGATCTTTAGATGTCCCTATGTTTGTTCGGCCTGTGCTTTAAAGGCCTAGAATAGTTAGCGTAGCTTTAGGGTTTAGTCTCATGTTCGGGCTTTGTCTAGTGTTTCCCCTTAACTCGGTGAGGAATGAAGAGGGTGCATGGACCACTATATACACAAGCTAACAACCAGTCTTAAGCGCAGTTTTAACGAGTTTACATGCTAAACCAGAAATTTAAGACAAACTGATGAAGAAATTAAACATATTAGGACAAACTGGTCGCACTCAAAGATATAAACATTTTGCCCTAAAATTTGCAATTATTTTAATACTTAAAAGAGGGATCTAGGTCATACTCTTCCAGCTCAAGGGTTCCATATAGAGAAAAAATAAATGTCCTCAAACAGCTTCTATACCAAATGTGCCCTAAAATTAGAGCCCCAAAGGTTTTAAAACTACAGCTTCTATTATGCATGAACAGGAGTGCCCAACACCTGGGATCTACCTTTTGGGCAACCCTGTTCTAAACAATTTAGCATAACTCCAGACAACAGTGCCCAGAGACGAAACTCTAGGCAACATAACCACGACAATACGTGTTAATGGTCATGTTGCTTACAGCAGTGGTCTCCAACCTATGTGCCATGACATACCGCTGCGTATCAAGCCACCTCAAAATGTGCCACGCAAACAAGGACTTGAAGGCTTAAAAAAGTTAAAAACATTAGTTGTTTTAAAAGCATTGAAAGCTAATTAAAGTCAGTATGTCTACTTAGATAAAAGGAAGTGCTATACAGGTTATACCTCTCTTTAAAGGCTACAAGAGAATGTGCTATTTAAAAGCCAATGATAAAGTTAAGAAAAATGTAGCCGTGACATGTTGTTTTCTTTCAATAAAGTGTAACACTGTCCAAAAAAGTCGGGAACCATTGACTTGGCGTTCTCTTTAAGTTGCTCCATATGATATATAACATTGTATGATGAAACGTGAAATACAATTGTTTTTATCTCTACAGAGAGCTATTAAATTATTTGCAGTGCTCGGGTCAATGTCACAATGTTTCTTTCAGAGATCACTAGGTGTAGCGAAAAATATGTGTCTTACCTTCAGTAGCTCTGTTGACAGCAGAAAGAGTGCTCAGGACTTTAGGGAAGTTTTCACCAGTGTAGAGATCATTTGCATCGAACAGCTGTAAAAACAACAGTTGAGGGAAAGACAAATTTGTATTAAAGAAAAAATGGATTTATTTTGTGAGACACCATGCTGTAAAGCAGGTCTGTTGCCAAAAATAGACTTTTTTCGAAATGCTGCAATATAACTCATTATATAGATATATATATCAGGTGAAGTAAAAAATAATTTAAAAATATACAGCAGGTAATAGGGTGGCTCTAAAAAGACAACTTCAAAATTTGGCGCCAAAATGACGTCATCGTCACGTTACTGCATGACTTTAACTTTAAAATATAAAACATAATATAAAAACCCTCGTCTTCCATTGTTATTTTATAATAGACGCTAGAATATGTATTATTTGACTGTATTTTATTATGGTGTGTGTGTGTGTGTGTGTGTGTGTGTGTGTGTAATATTATATATATTATATTATATTATATACACACACACACACACACACACACACCATAATAAAATACAGTCAAATAAAACATAATACATATTCTAGCGTCTATTATAAAATAACAATGGAAGACGAGGGTTTTTATATTATGTTTTATATTTTAAAGTTAAAGTCATGCAGTAACGTGACGATGATGTCATTTTGAAGTTGTCTTTTTAGAGCCACCCTATTACCTGCTGTATATTTTTAAATTATTTTTTACTTCACCTGATATCTGAATCTTCTGTGGACTACTGACTAAAGAATCCTAGGTGGGGATTATACCACCCAGGCTTGTGACAGAGCGGTTAGTATGCTCATTCAAATATAAGTGCATTCTTCATTTATAGATACTTCCCTACATAGAGAGCACTATTTGCTGTTTCTTGTCGTTTTATATAATCTACCTTGCCGTTACCCTGTTGTGATTTGCTTCATCGCTACCTTACTGAGCATCAACATCAGATATGTAATACCACTACATTCAGTTTTTCCTAGAGCTGGTTATAGCTCTACTAAATGGGAGTAGACTACTGTTTTTTAGTGTGGTTTGTCCCATCTGCAACTAATCTGCACTATTGGTTCGCCTTTGTTTTATGTTTCCTTTCATATGCCGCTATCAAGCAAAGTTATCATATCGTACAAGAACTTGAAGATGTGCTGTTATCTCTAAGGCTGTGCCTTGCCTTTTGGTATTTTTATTACATATTGTTGTATTCTTGGCGCTGCCTGTTATCTTTGTTTCACTTGCATTAGTTTCTTTCTGATGGACTCCCCTATAAGGTGTGCTGCCTCATAGATTATTGTATTCAGTTTCGTTTAGTGCTGCTCTAACTTCTGTGTAATATTGCAATTAGAACGCTCATCTTCCATGTTAAAATGAACGTAGGACCGACCGATAATTGGGCACTGTGATGTAGTGGTGGGCTTAACACAATATGGCCATATGGTGTAACTGAATCCCCATATTTGCTTGCCAATAGAGGTGATTTTAAGTAGCCTTGTAAAATCTAAAAAAAAAATATTTGTTTCTGTACAACCAAATTTACCCATAATCCATGGGTAAAAGCAATCCCACAGAAAAGCAGATTTCATGGGCAAAGAAGAAAAAAAAATTATCTGCTCCCAGGTATTGAAATTCAGAACGAGGAAGAAGATCATTATAAAAATAAAAAAAAAGCGCAAGTGTCAAGGGAGGGAGCAGAATCATTAAAATACAAAGGGCATAAGGAAAACTGAAAGACGAACATAAGGGACAGAGACAATTTAAATAAGCAAAGCACCCTTATTATGGCAACGCAATTCTTACATTACAAGCACTCTCTTTTGTACAGTCTAATGTCACTGCGTGCATTGAACAAACTATTTGGTAGTGAGATTGCAACTAGAGAAGCGTAATTTAGATCTAGTTATACAAAGAATAAAAGTTATTAGAACACAGATACTTTTACTCTGGGGCAAATTAATACATTGCAAATAACGAACACATAAGGATTTACTTGAATTCACTTCAATACTGTAATGCAATCAAATAAAAGCTTGCAAGTTATGTGACATGTTTTACAGCAATGTAGTTAGCTAGAGAAAGCTGTACTTCATGCATTATATAACCCAGATCCATGACTTCAGCATTATAAATAGGGTTCACCTCGATTCGCAGAGAGGTACATGCTTTCAGAAATTCTTTAATATTCTCCAGGCACTCTCCTTCACTCTTAGGTTCTGCAAAAAACTAAAATGAAAGTAGAACCAGATCAGTTAAAAATTAATACTAGTTAGTCATCGGTGAAGGTCATATTACTTAGATAAAATTACGTGGAATTGTCGTGATAGATTTAGAAGATTTTTTATTTTTTTTGCATGTGGGTAAAAAAAAAAAAAATTATATATACACACACACACACACACACACACACACACACATATATACACACACACACTTTTTAAAAATAATTTTTTTTACATAAATTATTTAACCAGGAAGGATGCACTGATCCAAATGAGATTTCTCGCATTTTCAAGCATGTCCAGGGCCCACAAACATTGCATTGTTACAACAGGGTATACAGTACAATATTAAAAATACAAAGGAATATTAAAATAGGTATACATTTACCACAGAACAAGTAAGAAATATAATCAACTATGATACCCCATCCATGTGGGTCCAGCACTCACTCGCCCGGTCTTGTGCTTTCCTGGGTGTATATCATTTATGCCAAAATATTAATACAAAAGGAAGGTGCCCTCACTGGGCTTCATAGGTAGTTTTAGTAGCTTTATTGTGCAATACTACACCAAAAAAAAAATATATATGTTACAACGTGTCAGATCTATGCAGGACTGAAATATCAATACATTTTGTTTTTCCACACATGGCTTCACCACTTTCGCTTATTTAAAACTGTAGTGGTGTTATGGAGACAGGCTCAGGCACAGAATGTAGTGGTGTTATGGAGACAGGCTCAGGTACCGAGTTTGTGGAACCACCATCCTCTGTCAAAGTTGAGCAAGACTGCAGCCAATGACAAAAAGGATAAGGGAATTTGATGTACTTGTCCATGTGGGGACAAATGACTCTGGCTGCAATGGGGTTTCAGGGGTAAATGAAGTTTTTTTTTGTATTTTTGCCAACGATATACGGCAGGTTGCCTCCACACTAATTCAGAATGACAGGCGGACGTGTATTAGGGACTTTAACTTGTGGCTTGGTGAATGGTGTCGTGAGCAAGGATTTGGCTTCATTTCTCATGGTAGCTCTGTTTGGAATGGAAATGAACTGTACAAAAAAAAAAAAAAAAAGATTGTTTGCATCTTTCTCAAAAAAGGAACAAATGTTCTCAGTGAGCAATTCAGAGGTTTTGCTAGCATGTATTTAAACTAGGAGAGGGGGGCAAAGGGGTGATAAAATGTCAATGCAATTGTCCCCCAAAACAAGTACAGAAGGTGCTTGTAGCAAGTGTGTTAAGAAATTATAAGCTTAAAGTCATGTCTACAAATGCTCGCAGTTTAGGGAATAAGATCCATAATAATGGCAACTGATAGTGTAGATTTAGTCGCTGTTACTGAGACATGGTATAATCAGAAAAATGACTGGGACATAGCAATACCAGGGTACTATTTATATAGGAAAGATAGGGAAGGCAAGAAAGGGGGAGGGGTGGCCCTGTATGTGAAGGATAGCATAAAATCTAGTCTAATAAAAGTTTGTGAGGCGAACATAGAGTCCGTTTGGGCTACGTTAGAATTTGGTAAAAATCGCACAGTAACTCGTGTAGGTGTGGTTTATAGGCCCCCCCCAGGACAAATAGAAGAGTTGGATAATATACTATTTGAGGAAATATCTAAAAATGACAATGAAGGGGGAAGTTATCATCATGGGTAACTTTAATCTTCCTGATGTAAACTGGAAAACCAAAATAGCTGCTTGTGCCAGGAGCACACATATTCTAAACTCCTACTGGGATTGTCTCTGAAACAAGTCGATGAGGAGCCAACTCGTAAAGAGGCCATACTAGATTTAGTGTTAAAAAAAAAAAAAAAAAAATGGAGATTTGGTATCAGGTATTACTGTAAGTGAAAGTTTAGGATCCAGTGGGCATCAGTCAGTGTGGTTTAATATAAGAACAGTGGGTCACACCACACAAAAACAAAAAGCGTTTTAGACTTTAGAAAAACAGACTTTTCTAAAATAAGTATGTGTGTAAAAGAGTCATAATAAGACTGGATCAATTTAAATGGAGTCCAAGAGAAATGGGATTATTTAAAAAGGTGCACTGCTGAAGGCAACAGAAAATTGCATTAAGCTTGTCAGTAAAAGCAAAAATTTTAAGAAACCAATGTGGTACTCCGCAGATGTGGCCAAAATAGTAAAAAACAAAAAGTTAGCATTAAGTAATTATAAAAAAAAAAAAAAACCCAGAGTGAGGAAGTCAGAATGAGCTATAAGATTAGGCAGAAAGAGACTAAGCAAGTTATAAGAGCTTCCAAATCACACACAGAAGAGAAAATAGCACAGTCAGAAAAAAAAAAAAAAAGGGACAAAACATTTTTTTAGATAAATAAATGAGAAAAGGAAAGTAGAACAAGGATTAGTTAGATTAATAACAAAAGAAGGGAGGCGTAGCTTAGCCACTGAAGCAGCCGGTCGCATGTTCTTGAAGCTCCAAGCTTCATGCCACTGAAAACCCGTTTTGTGAAGCAGGTACCCCTACTAACTAGACTTTGGGAACATCACCAGTTGGTTCAGGAGACATGGGGTGCAAATCGAAAAAGCCCAAGCACAACAGAATGGGGATGAATATTGGTGAACTGTGGAGGCAAGCGCAGGGCGTGTGCGGACCTTAAATGGCCGCCCTCTCAGGAGGCTGCTCGGATTTTTCCTATGGATGGTGAAGAGGAACTCTTACCTGCAATCCCGAAGCCAAAGCTGTGTCTGACGGCACAAGACTCCACACTGGTTACCACCACTGTTCTCAAAAAGCTCCTAGCCGATCTGAAAATCACCCTCCAGGCAGACATAGCCATGATCCGCAGAGGCCAACAGGGCCTGCCAGGCCGCATCGGAGTGCTGGAGGAAACGTCTCACAGAGGAACGCAACGCATGGACACACTGCAACAAGTGGTCCAAGACTTGCAAAGGCAGAACCAAACATATGAATGCTGCTTCGTGGTACAAGAAGATATATAAAAATCAGAGGGATCTCAGAGGAAGCTCCCAAAGCCGGATTACCACACCTACTAAGGAGACTTATGGTTGCCCTGTTGCCGCCGCAGCAGCAGACCAAAGCTGTAGCTCTGGACGGCCAATTCCGTATCCTCGTCCACTTCCAGTCTGGGTCAGACAAATAAGCAATCCTTGCTGCCCTCAAGGGTACGTCCCTATATCAATTTGAGAACATGTCACTAGCTTTCTACCCGGACCTCTCAAGCAGCACCCTTGCCTGGCGGAGGTCCCTCAAGCCTCTTACCTCACTCTTCAACGATTAAATATATGCTACCATTGCCGTCTGTGCGCCGCACACTCC